CTTCAGAGAATAGTAATAACAATGAAATAGGACAATATGGCCCACGACCTGCACTTAAATTTGCAGACATGCACAGGCAAACACACACAGAGCGATCATGAAGGCGAAAATCCTCCATCAAATAATATCGGTAAGTGACCAAGTGCGTGGGTGGGTTCCTAATCTTGTTAGTGTTCAGTGGCTGCACACTAAAGAGGAAACGATTGAAAAGAAAGGCAGACTGAGTTAATTGTCCCGTTCAGTCCTGTCTATAGATGCTGGGTATTTGGGGGATGGTAAACACATAAAATTGTATAATTAGATCAGACTCCCACAATAATGTCTTTGGAATGGACAATCACAGTGGAGTTAGGTTTTAAAGCCAGAAGTTGATTATATTAATATCACCACTGAGTTTTGAAATCAAATTAAGGTGGTTGAGTAACAGATATGTCCAGTAATTAGTCAGTGCTTACATGTCAGATTAAAATGGTCTCCTGGCACATTTAATAGGGGAGCATGCAGGAGAGGAGAAGTAGAGAAAGAGAAGAGAGAGATAAAAGATGCGAGTCTTCAGAAGTGGTCTCTAGCGTCACTAGATTGCAGAAGTTAGCAGGAGAAAATGGTTTCTCATGCACTAAGTTCAGACAAATTCCTTTTAGAATCCAGGAGTCTTCATATCCTGTGACATATTTATTTAATGAACCTTTTCATGTAATTGAATAGACGCTCTAATGTCAATTTATGGATCTCTATTTGATTTATTATTGTAACAAGTTTCCGGTTTTCTCCTTTAGAGTAAAAGGGAAAAAAAGCATTAATTATACAAACCCTACTTATTTTGATGCGACGGGAAAAGGTGAAAGCTGTCACCGCAGTGGATGCCGTTCATCTCTCATCCTCAATTAGCCATCCATCATCTCTCTTCTCTTTTGCTTGCTTCCCTTTTTTCCTGCCAAATCTGGTGGATAATTTCCCCCCCAGCGCTGGCATGCAGAAATACCTGTACATCTGTGGGGCTCTCTGAAACAGATTTGTGATCTTTATGTGGTTTTGAGTCAAAGATCAGGAAGCACTCGAGCAGAGGAAGAAGACAGACAGATAACAGCAGCCCCAAATCAAGGCTTTTGATTCTGTGCTCCTGTTTATGTGCAGATGATTTCCAGATTAGGTGGTCAGAATAATTAATCACTATTTACTGATAATTCAATAAATGAACATATGTCCAAGTAGGGTTAAGGTGACCTACATACCACACTAGTTATATTTTTATTTTTCATTCAAATGTTCATGAAGAAAAAAAACTAAAACATAATTTTCATAGATGTTTTTTTTTTTTTTTTTTTTTTTTTTTTTTTACAATTCAGTCACAATATGGTAACAATCACATTTTAGCTTTGTGATAATGTAATAACTTACTGACTTTATGTAATTACTAAAATAATTGCCATGCAACATTGGAATATGCCAACACTACTGGTATCCAATTGCAGTCGTTTAAATTCAAAAAGACCATTAAATATGGATATGCCAAATTTCACTACTAATGCAGAAAAAAATCTTGTTGCAATTGCATTGTCTGGATAATATAAAATAAAATGTCAAAGTATGTGTACACTACTGTAAAAAATAAAAAATAAAAAAATTAATGGAAGCTATGATTTCATTTCACTACATAATGTTGTTGTTATCTAGTAGTAGTTTTAAAACTGTTTTATCAGCTACATAATATTCCTTTTTGTGACCATATTCACACCAAATTGAAATTCGGACAGCTTTAGTGCCTTGTGTGTTTGACTCTTATATAAACCTCCGATAAATCTTCCCTCTATCTCATGCAAGGCAATGAATGTAATCTAGAAATAGAAAAGACTGCCAGTCCCCTTGGCAATGGTTTTGTTTGTTTATAGCAATTATGATAATTTGGGAATAACATTTAGTTGCCCTCTTGTTGGCACATGTAGGCACTTTAAAAATAACATCAGGAATAACACGTTTTCCTGCTGAGACTGCCATCCTGCAGCACGATCTCGTTGACGCATTTTGACTGGAATGCTAAGTGGCAGAGCTGGTCTGAAACAAGATGGAGCGACAATTTTCTTTTTCAATTCTTGGCTTCAGATGAAAACCTTCAAGACAATTAATGTTGCCTTTTCCAATCTTTCTCTTTTATTTTGTTTTACCTCTTTTAGTCAAGAGTTGTTGCCTGCATGACAGCTATCCTGAGTCAGATGGATGATCGTCATTATGCCACGTACATAGAAACCTTCACTGGAACTACTGAACTCGTGGTAACTTCACACACACGCCTCAAAATTTCAACTAGATTGCTTAATGTATCATAGGAGGAGAATCACTTTTTTCTCTTTAATCGCAGGACTTCCTGATGGAGTCCTTCCTGCTTTTCAAGGACCTGATTGGGAAACATGTGTATCCCTCTGACTGGATGGCCATGATCATGGTGCAGAACAGGTTGGTACTTCATAATTAGCAAAACTGACATGCTTGCATTTATTCAGGGTCTAGAATTTGGACCATGTACATGGTGAGATCCCTTTATTCACCAATACGTTTGCCAGAACAGATCATACATTTTTTCAACAACACTGCCAAAATCCTTTTAGCCAGTGATAAAATTAAGACATTCTGACCTTATTCATTCACAAAAATACAAAGCATCTTTCGGTGGCCCCAAAGCAATGGGGCCCCTGGCTGCATCCCCGGTAAGCCCGTGCTAAAATCCGGGCTTGGACATGGCGCTACATCTTAAAGGACTGTCAACAACCACAATGAATTGTTCATCTGCTCTAACCCACACTGAGATGAGTTAGAGATAGTAAAGCTGGGATCAGGTCTGTAATGATGAAAACGGCTGATGTGACAAATACGCTGGTGTGCGCGGACTGATAGAGCAAAAATCTATCAATGAAAGGAGCCAGAGGGGAGGCTAAAGCTGTGAAGCCAATAGGTAGAAGAGAGAGTAAAGTAGAAAGAACAGCTCACTCTGTAGACTGGGGCTTGGGAAGAAGTGTGCAAATATAGCATTTGATCGTCCCACTACATAGAAAATGTAGGAGGAGGGGGAATGAGAGGGGATGTCATTTGGCTCTGGATAATGATGATAGATAGTGTTTGGGCCAAAAGAGGCTGGAAGCAGTTTCTCCTTAAGTTCAAAAATGCATTAAATAACATCTCACTGATACCTCTGCACTCATTGTGTCGAGCTGCTGTCATGCTTCTACTGAGATAGAAGAATAGCAATAGTTTAAAAAATCCCTGAAAAAGCAGTTCACAATATGAAATGCCATGAAATTCCTTATCTAGAAAAAAGCAGTTTTGATGCATTGTACCTTTTTATTCATTGGATTCCTTTTTTTCTCACACCAGATTAGTTTTCTTGTTGGTCATTGCAGTGCCAATGTAAAGGGTCACATCCATTTATCATGGAGAAAATCTTCATACATCTAACAGATTTAATTAATTTCAAAAGTATTAATTGGCTTCACAAGTGTATACAAGATAATTCAAAAAATGTAATGCTAGTCTACTTAGATCCAAAATTAGTTTTTAACTGTACTTTGTATATTTGCAAATACCAAGATGGCCCATACGTTTCACCCTCAGCTAAAAGGTCATGTGTAAGCGTGTTCAGGAACAACCCAGGGATCACCAGGACTCAAAGCTGCCAGAATCTCAATAAAAGTAGAAGAAGCATCATTGTCACTGTGTGCAGTGAAGCATGTGTTATATCATCCTGCACTGAGAAGGTCCTGACCAATAAAAAGTAAACAAAATCAAGCTCAACTGGAATTTGTAGCTGCCTACATGAGCAATTCCAGTCCCTTCAGAGAAATGCTTTATCATCATTTATTATCATGGTGCAAAGATTGATCACTTTGGACACAATGATTAAAAACAAGTATATTTGATGAATCAACGTTTTGCGTTTAAACTTAAGAAAATTATACTGACAAGTATGGTAGACGTAGACTCATATGTTTTAAACACCCTCTAACGATACCTAAACTCAACAGTTAAATGATTTAAACTTGGACACCAAAACTTTTTAACTGTAAGGAAGATTCCATCCATACAATATTAAAACATAAAAAAAAAAGATGGTTTCATGCCTGGAAATTAGGCAATTTTAATAAACCTCACCTTTTCTGATTCCATCTCATTCCTTCTACTTCGCTTTCTGATCGAAAACATTTTCAGTTTCCTTGCAACTGACTGATCAGCATTTCATCCATTAGAGGAAATCTGCATTCATTTAAACTTGTGCTCTCACTTCCTGTCTGCACCATTGTAAGAAAAACTACTCCTTTAATATTTTCTAGTCTTAAGTTTCATGAGGAAAACAATCATCTCATTCCTGAAAAAAATGTTTAATGTATAACTTGTCACTGGCTTATCGACACGCTGCCTTTTGTCATTAATAAAAAGCAGTAATGCTCGTCCATCTTAAAATTTCCACTTTATTCACAAAATTTGGAATTAGTTAGCAAAGGAAAACAAAAATAAACACATTGTGTCTAGCATTTTAATTAAAAAAAATGAGAGTACCATAGGAAATATTCCATACCACAGTTGGATTAAAGAATATAACATGAATATATTTATTTTTAACATTGAATTGTCTGTAGGGTGTTCCTGAGAGCCATCAATACCTATGCTGACACAATGAACCAAAAGTTCCTGACTAATGATGACTTCGAAGTGCAGGTAATTGTATACACAGTATATAAAAATATTATGCAGCTGTGATCATTTTTCTGTTTCACTGTTTAATGTGCTTCCTGAATACTTTCTCTGCTTTCTCTGTCTCCATAGCTCTGGAATAACTACTTCCACTTGGCGGTGGCATTTATTACTCAAGAGTCTCTGCAGCTTCAGCATTTCTCTCCAACCAAAAGGAACAAGATTCTGGTCAAGTGAGAGTATAAACATTTAATTTCCTCCTTTTTACCACATCTGCGCCGCCTGCGCTAATGGCACTACCCATTAAAAGCCTTTGTTACCTGTAGACAGGAGATCAATTCAGTTGAGGTAGAGCAGCACTGCATTATCTTTCCTAAGGGGATGTTCAGTTTCTGAAAGTGGAAATAAGTATTGATTAGGTAATTGTTGCAAACTGAGGGGATGACTTTTCTTCTCTTATCAATTCATATGTACTTTCCCTTTTATTTTCACTCTTACACATTTTTCTTTCAGATATGGAGATATGAGAAGGCTCATTGGCTTTGCTATACGTGACATCTGGTACAAACTTGGTGAGAAGCTATAATGAATTGTACAATGTTTTTACAGAAGGTTCACAGATTTAAATTTAAAGTCCAGAGCACTCAGGTGATTCTGCATGCTAAAATGTGGTAAATACTGTGAAAACCAGAGTTAAAAGAAAAGGGGAACACTATTTTTCAGAGACTCAGGGAATTAGTTGAAAGAAAATAAAAGTGAACCAATAAAGACCACACAATGTATATTGGGTTTCTTATAGTTTTTTTTTTTGTATTTTCTTTGTCCTTCTTTTCCACAAAACCCCAAAGCATGCTAAGAACAAGACATAGGATCTCATCCATAGAAAACATTATAACTGAACTCTGTCAAAGGTCTAGTTCAGGGCTTCTTAAACTCAAGTTCAAAGGTCTAAAGGTGATTTCAAGATAAGATCAAAGGCTCAGAAAACCATTTTATTACATTTTAATTTAAAACACACAAGCAAAAGCAATGACTTTATCCCTGCAGGTGTTTTTTATGGCATAGTGCTAAAGGTTTTCACAGCAAAGGTTGTAAGCACTTTAATTATCTGAGTAGTGTAAGTTCATATTTAGGATTAGTTTTAGCACATTCAAAATAGGTGATGTGGGCTTCCGTTTTTCTGGAGATATTTCTAGCATTTATGGTGATGGTGATGAAAGGGATGATTAAATGAAAGTTTGTAGAAATTCAACGCAGTCTGTTTGCTGATGCAGCCGTCGCATACAACCAGAACTCCAAAAGCACAAATGCTGCTCATACATATTTATATTTATTTACGCTTTTGTGGAACTAGTAGAGAAAAACGATTATTAAAAAGGCAAAAATAACTATTTCACAAACAATTAGAATTTATCATTAATTTGATAAATCACATTTCTGCTATGATCTTTCTCTTTTTTTGTGGCACTGAGAAATGATACAGTGATTGGATATCCTTAATTTCTCTGCATGTATTTGTCTTTTGTAGGAAGCCATAAGATCTGTTTTATCCCTGGGATGGTGGGTCCAATCCTGGAGATGACTTTGATTCCTGAGGAGGAGCTCAGAAGAGCCACAATCCCCATCTTTTTCGACATGATCTCCTGTGAGCATGTCCAGTTTGGAAACTTCCAGAAGGTGAATAAGCACTATGCATGAAAAAACATTCAGGAGTCAAAGTTTCACCACCATTACAGTGAGCATAACAGAGAAATGTCTGGACAGGTTGGAAACCAAAAGCACGTGCACATAAAATTACTACACTGATTTCCTGCAATGTTGAATCTGAATCTGAATCTGATTTGCCTTTTTTTGTTTCCCTCTCCCTAATTTATCCACTCTTTCTTTTCCAAACCTGTACTTTTTCTTCCCAACAGTTTGAAAACGAGATCATCCTGAAGTTGGATCATGAGGTGGAAGGTGGAGGAGGAGATGAACAATACATGCAACTTCTAGAAACCATGTAGGACTGAGTATTTAAGCATATTAAATCCAAAAATGACAAATAAATATTTCAGCTTAAAGCATATATTTGCTTAGAATGAGCTTTGCAGCCAGTATTGTTTTTCTCTGTCAACACTAGAGAAACACAGAAAGCTAGCAGCACTGAAAAACAAACCCTGTTTCAAATTGTTGATAATTAAGCTGCTTATTCTCCTCTACCAGCTTGTTGGACTGTGCGGCTGAGAAATCCACACTGAAGCCACAGGTGCAGCACTTTGTCTCTTTGGTTAAGGGTCTCCTGACTCGTCTCCTTGACTACCGCACCGTGATGAGTGATGACAGCCGCAACAACCGCATGAGCTGCACTGTCAATCTTCTGGTTAGTAAAAACACCGTTAAAATAAACCCCAAGGTATTGGAGATGTCAGTGACTTGCTTTTGAAAAAGACCTATAAGCATATTAGTTCCAAGAGAACAACTTGCCTGTAAAAGGTGAGCTAACCTGGACTTAATGCTGTGATGTTAGAAACTATATTAACTTTTTTTTTTACTCTCGCTGTATGCTTTCAGACACATAAAAAAAAAAAAGAAAAACCCAATAACTGCTGATTTTAACCAAGAAATGTTCACACATTTATTCGCACGGTATTTGTGTTTATGTGTCTTTGGAGATAGTGACTTTGTTGCATGGAAATAACAAAAAATTATATTTTTTTACTTCATTTTTTTCCAAAATATTTTTCATATGCACAATGGGGAGAAAAAAAATCTGTAAATGGGCGAAATTACCATAAATATTTTGGAAATACATTGAGCATAAAAGTTCACAAATAGACAAATCCGTGACTACTGAATCAAGAGTCGACGGGTGTTCACTAATGGTTTATTTAAGAAAAAATAACAAAACCCTACCTACAAATGTTAATTTTTTCGCCTTTGGTTGAGAAAATTTTGATGAAGTACTTCCTGTAACCATCTAAGAGACTTTTTCATTGTTTTCAGTTTTTAATTCTCAGCCACTTGGTTGATTTACCAGATTTTTGGAGTCTTCTTTTTGCATCATGTGGTCTGCTTTCAGTGTGAAATTATTTCAACATCAGACCTGAGTATTCTGGCAGTTGTTTTAAATATTCTTCACTTTTATACTATTTTCCATACAATAGAATAGTTGTTTTCGTGTTCTTTTCATAGCTCCTTAAATCCCTTACCAGACAACTTCAGACTTCAGACAACTCTTTTGATCTCACTGTGGTGTTTACTCTCACTTTAACAGCTAGGAGCACACCAAATGAAATGTCGGAGGTTTAAACTCAAATCAAATTCAAAATGCTTGGTATCAGTGGGATTGTGCGCCTGAATAAATAAAGAATTTTCCTGATTTATTTCCCTCCATAATTGCACCTTTTCTATAAAAACAAAATCCATTTGGTGATTTTGTTCTAACATTACAATGTCTTTTATAATGATTTTTTTTAATTAAATATATCTTTACCTCTTTAAATTTTTGAGGTGATTGATCTAGAAATAGTTTTCAATCTTCAGCTTTAGGCTGCTTACAAAAGATTTCATCATGGTGTGCACTTATTACATGTTTCCCTTAAGACGTCCATTCAAATGATTGAATTCAATCATCTCACAGTTTGTCATTTTTTATTCAGAATAAATAGTCTCATCAAACTATGCCTTCATTCTGCTTCTTTTAATATGTCATTAATTATCAAACTGAGAAATAAATCTTACATGTGAATCCGTGCATCTGTGTTCACATGTTATGTTGCAGTTTGTAGAAGAATGCTGCTGGGAAATGGCAAAAGTATTTAGCTTATAGCTTGTGGCAGTTCCCCATTAGATATTCTATTTAATTTATTTCTTGGGCTGAAAAATCCTTTCTCCAGGCTAGCAAGCACTCTCACATTAACACCCCACCCTGTGCTAACACACACAATCACTCACATATTTGTTATTTGCCAAGCCTCCTGATGCAGATGCATTTTCAAAGGAACAGAAATGTACTCCTAAATGTAAAGGCATTCATACACCTCTGGCCAAAATATCCCAGTCGAACTCGCATATAAAAGTTTCAGAGGCATTTTTGTGCCATCAGCTTTTTTCCAAAGGTTTTTCATGTTCCAATTTATTGAATGATTTGTGTTAATTTAAAAATAAATAGCTTCGTAATCCAGTTGACAAGTGATTGATTGGACATAAGAAAATCCGCTTCCCCTGTGTCTTAAAACACAAAGGTTTAAAAGTAAAAAAAAAAAAAAAAAGCACAAAGGCTTCCTCAAAGCTTTGAGTTCAAATTGCTTTGGAAAATATGAATCTCAGCTAAAAGAGAAAAGAAAGAAAAAAATATTAGAGATGTATAAGGCTTCATTATTATTTGTTTATTATGTAATTGTAGGCACGCTTGTGTTTCTGTGTCTGCTCCGGTGGCCAAGCAATGACATTCATTGCCAATTTTACTTATGTAAAATACTTTCCATTTATAGAAAATAACAAAATGTTTGCACTAATCTATGACTACACATAAAAGCTTCAAAATACTGGTGTGACCTGTTAACCTGCTGTATCTCATGTTTGATCTGATTAAAGCAAATCAAAAATATTTCGAGCCACTTGTCTAATCCCATTGAATGTTTGGAAATTATGTGCCAAACATTGATTGGATGTGTTACCTGATACATACTGTGGCTGTCAATCCATCCATCAATCCATCTATCAACCAATCTTTCACATACATTTTTGATCCATTAGTTTGCTCATTTCAGTTATATAAATTTAGGGGGTGAAAAACTGAGATGGGATGCTTCACCTTTTGTGTCAGCTGTCACGTCACTAAAAACAGACATGTATAGTGCCTTCATCTCTGTAAATGTAACCCCAAAGACCCTGTCAATCTCCAGCTCTGTTCTATCAGAAATGACGAAAAAGGCACTTAAACTGTCCCTCTTGAGGCGACTTCTCTTTCCCGATCCAGAGTGGGAAAGCAACGCTGTTCCCACTCTGAACTAATGTTCAGTCTTGGAGGTGTTCATTGTTATTCAGGCTGTTTAACATTGAGTTGCAAACGCCCCCCATTGTATTTTATCTTGAAAAAGAAAAATGTGATCTGATACAAAAAAAAAAAAAAAAAAACAGCAGACTTTATTCTTGGCCCTGTTGTTGAAAGTATACCTCACAAAATAGGCTTACTGAATTCAAATAGCCCAAAACAATCAGTGTCTAAATGTCTCCATAATTCTTCCAATTGTTTTAGCTTTCTTTCATTTTGCATGTTTGGTGTTGCGTATGTGTGTGTTTACTGTGTGTCTCTTTCGCTAATAATGAGAGGTGGGGTTAAATCAGTTTGTTCCACGTCTCAGTTCTCTGTACATGTCATTAAACTTAATTAAACTGGGAAATACAGATACAACAGCACATAACAACATTCACAATACCAGAAGAATGCAGTGAAGCACTCGTGCTGCAAGACACCGTTGGACAAACTCGCAATGCAGAAATGCAAAATTACAAACTCAAACTTTGTGCAGCTCTCTAGAATTTTTGTGGATATGTTTTTGGGTAAAGCACACACTCAAAATTCACTGTAAGTCAACTTCTTCCTTTCTATTTTCTGCAGAACTTCTACAAAGACATCAACCGTGAAGGAATGTACATCAGGTATTTGCATTATGTTCTTGATTTATCCTAAAATGCTTTAAATGTTGGGCGTCTGTCTCGTAAAGTCTGCATGCATTTGAAACTTCTATGTGTGTGTGCGGTTTCCTAATCTGACAAGGGATTATATGAGTTCTGCTGAATTAATGTCAAAATCCAGCGGATCAGGTGGTGGTCTGACAGAAGAGAGAGCACACATGATGAGCACCAGCGAGGTGTAAAGGCAGAGAGAGGCAGCATGTTTGCAGGGGAGAGACAAAAATGACTGAGAGAACCAGACTGCATAGTTTATGTCAGGTCATGTAGTTCACCTTGTGTTTTCTCCTTTTTGTTTTTGTAGCCTTTTTGCTAGAAGAGTTGACTAACTTTAATTCTTCCTAAGGAAGAAGAAGGGTTAGTTTCAGACAAATGAAACTTGAATTGAACTAGGAGTGGACTGATTCACAAAATCCATGTTTTGATCTGGTTTGCAGTTTTGGGTGCATAGTTTTTGCATCACTTCAGAACTTCCATGGAAATTTGCCTCATCGTTGTGATAGTCTGAGAATAAAACAGTCTGTTATCCTTCAATGTGGAAGTGTTCCCTATTTCAAACTGCTTTTCATTTAATGGATAAAATGGTTTTAAAACTAGATCTGTTGTGTCAGGCTTATCAATTCCTTTTTCCGTCTCTTCAAAAAGTTTGGGAATTACTGAGTTGCTATCAACTCAGCAGGAGTGAATATTACACAGTCAAACCATGCCAACTTCTTTCACAAAGCAGATTAAAGACAGCAGCCGCTGACTGAAAAAAATGCTGAACATAAAAATGAATAAAATTAATGGAGAAAGTGGGAGAACTGAACTAAAAAAATATTTGAAATGAAATACTTCAAATGTACCATAAAAGTAAAAGTAGCAGCAAGAAAACACAACATAGACAAGAAGAAACTCAAAATAACAACTTCTACTGTGTCAAAAGAAGAGACCTTTTGATTTACAGTAACATTAGTTAAAGACATATTGAATGTACTAAATGTTATAACAATTATACAGAAATACTACTTATGCATTCATAATATTTTTAGAAGTTTTTTGGTAAAGTAACCCACCAGGGTGTTCTAGTAGATTAGAAAATAAGAGCCACCTCACAACATATCCAACTACCACTAACATTTGGTCTTCAGGCCAAGTCTCCTCAGAGGACCTGATGTCTTTTAATAACTCGGAAGCCTACTAAACCTTGAATAAATAGATAAAAAATGCAAAGCAGAAAAAAAGTCAGTGCTGTGCTTGCCAGGGGAGTAAAGTTATGAGCAAACAAGAAGCTCACACACAGTGCAGGGAGACAGATGCAGACAGAGCCGTGAGAAGGATGAGGAAACAGACACGCATACAACGAGGAGAATCATCCCCAGTCCCAAGATCTCGCTTGCCTGCGTGTCTCTGGCTCGCTACAACACAAGACATAAATGAATGATTCATTAGCAGTCTACCGCAGACATTGATGAAATGTCGACATCATTTGTGTTGTAGGAGAAAAATGTAAATAGAATGCAGTACAGTAGGCACGAGGATCCTCAGTGGTGTTGCACAGATGGCAGCAAATGTAACTCAACCAGTTGCTCCAGCCAGCAGGACGACTCAGGTCATGTACATCTGAAATAAATTCAGCAGAAATATTTGTGTCAATGTAACTGAGGAAATCAAAGCAATGAGGCCTCGTCTACCTCAGTAGGTCAGTGTTCATGATTCAGAAAAAGACTGGATATATTGTGCAACCCATGAGAGAAACATATAAATGCTTGTTTCATATCCGCTCACTGTTATCTTTATTCCGTGAGCTTTTAGGAAAATATTTACAAACTAATAAGACTAAAGAGGATCTTTTTGGAAGGTAATACAGCACTTCAGACAAAGCAAATAATCAGTGGAAGGAGTAGCTTAGAGTTCTGCAGACTTCCCTTAATTGATGAAATTATGAATGCTGAAATCTGTTATGGGGTCAATACTTTTTCACAATACTATAACTATTGGTATATGGGCTGAGGCAGGAATTTTTTTTTTCTTGAAAATATTCATTTCCACATGCCTTCTGCCCTCGGACCTAATCATTCTTGTTTTCTTTCCTATTTTTTCTCTGGATGAAATAGGAAAAAAAAAAAAGACACGACAGATATGTTTAATAAACAATGAAAAATCTTGCTCTTGTTAACTAAAGCAGAGTTGCTGTTTGTCTTCTACTGTCTGGACCCAAACAAACTACTCAAAATGTTTTTGTCTGTGTTTTTTTTTCTCTTAAAAGCACTTTTTTTTACCTGCAACCCACTCATAATGCACACAATGTTTTACCTCTGGGAGTCCCAGAAACATTTAAATGACCATTTCTATTCAAGTGGCGCATCTTACATTCCGTCACCTCAAGCGTAGAAAAGACTTTGTCATACTTATAAAAAAGATACATTGTGCCTTGTTTACATATGCATACTCTTGAATGACCTTGTGGTTTGCTCATATCATAAGGTTTTGTGTGTGGAGAGTAATGCTGATACCAGCTGTGCACTTTGGCTAATTCTTCATTTGCAGATGTTCATGCTGCCCAACACTGGCATCTAGTGGCGTGATGTTTAAAGTAATTTCTCTGGCTTTGTGCGTGTTTAGGTATCTGTACAAATTACGAGACCTTCACCTGGAGGGCGAAAACTACACAGAGGCTGCCTACACCCTTCTGCTGCACTCCCGGCTGCTCAAGGCAAGCTGCACACACACAAACACAAGAGGATATGTTTTGTTGTGTAATGCTGCACCCGCTGCCTCGCTCGGCTTAATCACTTGTCTGCCTGCAACAAATGAGAGAGTTCTTTACTTGCTGATAAATGGTTGCTACGTCGCTGGCCTCCAAATGATGAAGCCCTGAGGTTAGTTTATGGCTCTGCGTTGGCCACTGCAGCCATATCACTATGGTGATTGATGTAGCGCACTTGCACAGTGATTGTGGTTGTGCGTGAGCAGATGTGTGTTGGACGGTGTTTCACCTCTTTTGTCCCCTAATTATTGTTACGGGACGTTTACAAGCTCACAAAGGGGTCGGAGGATTTTCTTTCTGTGCTGTGCTACTGCATCAAAGTAGAAAAACTCTACAGGGTTTTTTATTTTATTTTATTTATTTATTTATTTTTATGAAACCTAGTTTGCCTGCATGGAAAGTCATTCACATTATTAAAAACTTAAATCATTAAAACATATGATGCAATTTAAAGATTTAGCAGATGTATGTGGATGTTTTGACATTTATCCTGTATATCTCGGTTATATCACAAAAGATTAATTCGATATCATCGTCAAAAGTTGATGGATAATATGTCTCTTTCTGGTCCAGTGGTCTGATGACATGTGTAGCCCCCAGTTTGAGTTTCATGGCTCTCAAACACAACGACAACTCAAAGAAACTCTCTATGACACCATCATTGACTACTTCGACAAGGGCAAGGTTTGTACTGACGCCCATGTATGCAATTTACTATGTATGAATAGTATAAGTTATTATTTCATACTCTTTAAGACTTAAGCAATATGTTTAAAGGTTTCCAATAAGTCACATGTAGAAGTTATTAGGCCTGTTTTTCATAAGAATTATAAACTCTGCTTCTGTATATTAGCAGGCAACAGAAAGTTAGTACTTAGTACTAACTAATTGTACTTAATAAACCTTTACACTTTAGACAAATACACATTGTAATTTAACAACAGCTTAACAATGACTAAGCTCTTTATGTGTTGTCACAATACAGGCTCCTTTGTATTCAAGAAGCTAGTTATGTCTAATTATTCACCCATCATTGTCAGTAGCTTTGCAAATAAATAAGCAAATCTTCAAAAGAAAAAAAAAACAGCATGAAAACTGTTCTTTGCTCTATGACAGAAAAATATAACTTCTCTGAACTGAGTTTATCAGCAGATCGTCTTGAAACCCACTGTTCTGTTTCTGTTCTTTGTCTCTTCGTGTTTTAGATGTGGGAAGAGGCCATCACTCTGTGCAAGGAGCTTGCAGAGCAGTATGAAAATGAGATATTTGACTATGAGCTACTCAGCAAGAGACTGGTAATACATCAAAGCTTTAAACCTCAAATCAGTTGCACAGCAGTCATGATCAATGGTTTGGCTGCTTCTCATATCCCCAGCTGTCTTCTGTTTATTTTCTTTATTGATATTTACAATGTTAAATATGAAGGAAACAGCTTTGAAATAGTAATGGTTAGATTCTCCACAGGGTGTTGCTTGTTCAGACTGTGAATTAAAGTTTTGAGAAACTGAGCCAGCCTCTCAGGTTCATTTAGGTCAAGAATGTCGAAGTCATTTTCATTTTTGGCCACATCAAGATTATTAATGCTCTCAAGGGCAAGTTGGGCCAGAATGGATTGATAAAACTCAAGGACAAACTGTTAAAATATTAATTAATAGCTGTCTCTGCAATATATAATTACTTTTTAACATTAAATAATATTGAATATTTTTTTATCAATCCCTCCCAAATTTTGCTAATTGTTTTTGTGATTTCTTGCAATCAAAATCACAGATTTTGCGGTGCTAATTTTTTTTTTTAAATATTTGCAAATACGTATGACGTTTAAGTCAGACTAAGGTAACTCAGCCTTAGCTGATCCCACCGTCAGTTAGCGTCATTTAAACCAAATGCTTTTGACCATTTCTTTTGGAATATTGTCAAAGATTCAATTTTGTATTTGTGTAAAAAAAATGCAGAAATCTATTGATTTTGCATGAATGTCCACAATCACGGAAATACAAAAAACTGCAGGGATTGAACTATGTCTAGAGGGCCACTTAAACTTATCGGGCTGTCCAGATTTGGGCCACCGACCTTGAGTTTGACACATGTGATTTAGATTGTACAAACGGTGTGGTTTACAGCACATTTGCCAATTACACTAACACCTTTCAGCACCCATGTTGTTCATGTAATAGATTTCACTTTTGATTGGACTCTAAAATTATGACTTTTGCTTTGGAGGTTGTTACTAATTACCATTTCAATCACTATTCTTAACCCTCTTGAAGCTGCATTTAAACCTGCTGTGATAGTATTTTGTGTAACTCCTGTTTCTTATCTCGAATGCACCAGGTCACATCCTAACTTGTAGCTTCTTTCCTCTTGTTCTGTTACTTCCCTCACACTCCATATATCTCACCGCTTCCCAAAGAAAACCGCACATTTTCCAACAATGGAAAAAACGACTCCTTCTCTCCTTGTATGACTGCAGCGTTGGCTCTCTCAGCTGTTGCTGAATTTATGTGGTTATATAAATGACAGACATTGCCCTTGGATAAGGTGCTGGGGTTTTTTCTGCATCTATCACCCTCACAGGTCCAGCATTCTGCTGATGGTAGCTTTGTCATTGGCATGAGCTGATTAAACTGCCCTGACTGCACACATTGCACATCTGAAACTCTCCCCCCGGACACATCCTTGGTTTCTCTCTTTATCTCTCCCTGCAGGAAAAACAAGCCAAGTTCTATGAGAATATTATGAAGATCTTGAGACCTAAGCCAGACTATTTTGCAGTGGGCTTCTATGGACAAGGCTACCCTCCTTTCATCAGGGTTTGTAGTTATATGTCTGGTCCAAATCACTAAAATTAAGGGGTATATCTTCTTTTTTGTGTGTTTTCTAAAAAAGAAGCTGTTAAATAATGTAAATGCTGTAAAAGTGAAATTTAAGTTTGTTAAGTTGTTATAAAGCCTGTTTTTTTTTTTTAACAAAAGTAGCACAAATATCTTTGTGTTATTTTCTTCCTGCTTTAGAACAAGGTGTTTATCCACCGCGGTAAGGAGTATGAGCGCAGAGAGGATTTCCAGAACCAGCTGATGAGCCAGTTTCCCAGCTCTGTGCGCCTTAACACCACCACCATGCCGGGAGATGACATCAAGAACTCTCCACTGCAGTGTATCCTTAAAGAAGCTAATCTGCTTTAATCTTCATAAGTGCATACAAAGCAGGGAATATAAATGGAACAGATCGGCTGCAGCCTTCCAAGACCAATGAACACAGAAATGCACATTTAATGACACACTGCAGCTGTGTGGTACTAATAAACAATTGGGTCACTGAAGGAGCCTGAATCAATATCAGTTGATATTGAATTAGGAATAATCTCTTCATTTTTATGAACCGACATGAATTGGCGGGTTTACAAAAATCTGTAACATGTTGTATTCAAACACAACAAAATTGCCACACCATAATATTCTTTAGTCTTTCTTTAGGTCTCATTCATCAGAAGGGACAGGAAGAAATAATAATAAATGACTTATGTAAATGTACCTAGAACGTTTCCATGTACTGTTATGTTTCTAACAAGAATTAAAGGTGTTGAGTGCATTTATATTTTGCCCCCAATTAAAAACAATTGATTGAAGATTGATTATTTGGTGTAATTTACATTTACCTGTCTATATATATCTAGCAGCATTTTACATTGATAAATTCCTCACTGCAGAATGACTCAAACTAAGTTTTATTTTGTAACCAGCTTACTGTGTATTGCAGACTTCTGCCCAGGTCCCTCTTGAAAATGAGATCCAGATCTCAATGGGGTTTGCCTGGTTAAATAAAGGGAAAAAAAAGTTTAGTGGAAAGGCTTTTTTTTTTGGCCGGATTTAGGACAATCCACCCAAATCTAAAAAATATGGCAAATTTGTATTTCAAGTAATCCATCTTTCCTTCATCTTGAGCCTCACTGTGTACGCTAAAAAACGATTCATGATACTGACACCACCATGTTTCACTGTTGGAATCTGTGTCCCCCCAACACTGAGCCTTTTTGCATTTTCCCCAGGAGAATAGCATTTTTTACATGTTTGCTCTGTCCCCAATCTGCTTTATATTAAACTCTCAACTGGACTGATTATGGCTTTTTTTTTTTTTTTCCCAACAATGACTTCTTTCCTTCTTTAATAAAAGTCCCAATGCAACTCATGGGTGTTTATGAACCAGTCCAAATACTTTAGCAAGATCCATTGTCAAACACAGCACACCGAGGAGTTGGAAAAGTTGAATTGAACTTTTTCTCTCTTTAATATAGGTCTAAATAAACCAGGACAGACTGAGATCCCGTCCCTCAGGTCTCAATCAGAGGTGGTTTAGGAATTGCTTTTAGGTCAGTTTGCCCACCTTCTGCTGAGAAAGCATTTATCTCCCCAAGACTAAGATTTTGAACTTTGAAAATGCAAATATATGTTTTTGTTCCTGAGATATGAGCACACATTTTTCATGCTGTCTTTAGGCTATATGGAGATGTATTGTTTTATATCTGATAAAAAACTGTTTAAAAGAAAATAGATGCATTGAATCTCTTGGTATGAGGTCTGTTACTGACCTGAACACAATTGTTTTTTGCATTCTTATAAATCTCAGCTATAGAGCTCAAATAATATACATTACATAAATCAAGGCGGCAAAAATATAGAAGGACGGTGTGTGTCACATTCAAGGTATTGTTTTCCTGAGCATTTTTAACCAGATATTCAGTGTTTCACTGTGCAGCCAGTCCTGGAGATCCCTCCTCGCCTGAAAAACAAGCCGGTCCCTGACCAGATCATCAAGTCAGTGCTATCTAACAACTCATTTCAATACAAATAAGTGTGCATTTTTGCGAACACTCATATTTCTGACTATAGCAATTTTCTATGTCATTCTCTTATTTTTCATGCTTTTATTTGGTTTCTTATTTTCACCCTGGTCTCTGATTCTCTGTAGCTTCTACAAGTCCAACTATGTGCAGCGTTTCCATTATTCAAGGCCTGTGAGGAAAGGACCTGTGGACCCAAACAATGAATTTGCTGTGAGTTACTCCTTGAAAGTCGATTCATAGCCTCGACCACTGGGACTGTGAAAGGATTTCAAGCGCTGTTGTAAATTTGCATTGTCTTCACTCTAAAAGAAAGACTTCTTTGCTTATTGGATAACAGTTCTATAGCGACTGCAGGCTGCAAAGTACAGAATTAGAGGTACACAATTAGAGGCTGTTTAAATATTCCAGAAGAGCAACTGAGATAATTAGATAAATGGAGGGGGAAGTGTTTAAGAGTTCAGACTGTTTTTACAAAATATAGTAAAGTATTCACAAGGGTCAGAAACTTATTAACAGCTTCTCCTCTTTTTCTCTCCTCTGCTCTGCTGTGTTTCAGTCCATGTGGATCGAACGCACCACTTTCACCACGGTGTATAAGCTGCCCGGGATCCTGCGCTGGTTTGAGGCTACAGATATAAAACATGTGAGTCTGAGGGACATGTGGTTTCACTCTGTGCTTCACTTTAATCATGTTTAAAAGTTACCAATCATGCTTCCTTGAAGGTTAGGATAGATCTGCCTATTTTGGTCAACAGTAAATCCAGCTGACCAAATGTGCTGAAACTTAGCTTGTGTTGCTAGGTGACAGGCTGGGCTCTACTTTGGTTGCCAGGTGAGGCTTTGGACTTGGCTCAGGTTGCTAGGCAACAGCGCAGTGCCAGTCAAATACGACTCAACAACTGGAGGGTTTTGGAAACGACTCATTTTCCAGTGATCAAAAAAGTGTCTAGGCATTTTTTTTGGTAGCACTTCTTTTTAGAAGCAGTAGAAATCCAAGTGGAAGTAGAAAAATATGCAGTGCATGAATTATGCAAAATATCCTTTGCTATATGTTTCTCAAATTACCTTCCTGATTTTTGTGTCACAAACATGGTGGCAACGGACCTCTGTTTTTCCACAACAAGAAACTATTGAACAGTATACAGGTTACATCTCTATTACATCTCTGTACAGGGCAGAAATAGCCAGTTAACCAAAGTATTTTAAATTAAGGACAAATGCAGTTTTGGTCTTTTAAAAATACTGAAGTTGGCCTTCAGTTCAAGGAATGTAAATCAGATGACTACTGCTCTTCCCAAACCCTCACCCCCACAGAGACTACTGTCCCCTACAACTTGCCCCCGGGGCAGTACATTAGAAAAACATACTTTCTTCATTAACAACTTTCATTTGCTGATTTTATTTTCTCTTTCCATCACGGTCTGCTTCCAGACTACTTTGTCTCCACTAGAGAATGCCATAGAAACCATGGAGTCCACCAATGAGAAGATTCTGACCATGATCAACCAGTATCAGGCTGACTGGAGCCTACCCATCAACCCACTCTCCATGTTACTCAATGGGATTGTGGATCCAGCTGTCATGGGAGGCTTTGCTAAATATGAAAAGGTATTTCAAATGCTCACTTTTATCATTTGATCATGAGTTACTTCAGTGGGTATAAGTCTATATGAATTTTAGCCCTTGAGCTTTTTAACATTTTGCTGCTGCTAACATACAAACTGCTGTGTGTTTCTAGATGATTTGATATGACAAACACAGAATAATGCATGATTGTGATGTGAGATCTGACCTGATTGATACTGGAGGGAAAAGAACGCGCTAAGATTTCAGACTCTTAATCCTGAAATCTGGAGGAGACATGCGTTCGGGACAAGATTTTCAGATTTTTATTTGTAAAAACATTAATAATCATGAATTATGTTCCTTCACTACTTTATTACTTTTTACTGGCCAGGCACATAGACTAAATAAATGCATATAATAATTCATTAGATACATTTTAAGTTTATAGTTGTTAATGTAAAAAAATTAATTAGGTAATTAGGTATAAATACTTCAACAAGACAATGTAGAAAATGATTTGGTTTTAATTGCAGTCTGAGAGTCAAGAAAAAATTACAAAAGCAAAATATGAAGCTAGAATGTTTTCTTAAAAGTGACTGAGCTTCAGGAGTTTGGCTGTAGATCAAAGGCAGTACTGACAACAAATTAGTATGTCAACTCTTTACATTGTCCTGACTCTTTAAAAACTATTTAAAGAGTTGCCTCAATCTGTTATGTTGCCCATCGGGTCACTGATTGTTTGTGACGGGTCACAGGAGCTTTAACTCTTCCAACCTGGGCCAGCGGTCTCCAACCTGTGGCTCCTGGGCCACACATGGCCCTTTGGTCCTTCACTGTGGCCCTTATGAAAGAATTTGACAAATTTTGCAGCCGCTAATTTTGTCAAATATGTTTCTTCCTGGATAATAGCTTGTGCTAAAATCAGTACCTTTTAAATTTAAAACCCAACATTTCAATCTGCTATAGGTGACATTTTATGAGATATTCTTTAACCAAATCCGGAATATTTGTTCTCCGTCAGGCATTCTTTACAGAAGAGTACACTCTGCAGCACCCAGAAGATCGAGAGAAACTTCTCCGGCTCAAAGACCTCATCGCATGGCAGGTACTGAGCACATTCAATCAAATATATGGACATCCACCACGTTTGTGGTCTTGGTTCTGTATATGTGTTCTGTTTACATCATAAATTTTCATGTGTAGATCCCGTTGCTCGGTGGAGGAATCTCTCTGCATGGGAAGAGAGTAACAGACGACCTGCGACCTTTCCATGAGCGCATGGAGGACTGTTTCAAACAACTGAAGAAGAAAGTGGAGAAGGAATATGGTGTGAGAGAGTTGGTAAGAGTTAATTAGAAGCAATATAAAGGGAAAAGATGTAAAACTACTACTTGTGAAATCCACAAGTCTGCCCCTGGAAGGCTGGTTGGAAGAGTTGCTGTAGTGGAAATTTATAATGAAGTTGTAAATTAGTCTACTCAGGGAAACTACTATAAAATATTCTTTAAACCTCTTCAGTGGTGCAGTAGTTTAGTTTTGTACTTTTTATATTTCTCTATGGCCAAAATAAAGTTGAAGTGATCTTACTGGATTGAAATATCTGACCTCTATAAGAAATTACATTAATATAGAACAGTTGTCTTGTTTTACTTAGTCACAGTTTTCTGTTATTTAATTTTCAGATTTCACTGTACATTTTGGCATAAAAATTATTCTTGCTTTACACCAAACCCTTCTTGTTGTTCTTATGCCCTGGGATTTAAACCATATGCTCATCTGAACCAATTAGGGCAACATCCAGGAACTGTTGCCCTAATTTTACTATCAGACATTGATGTTTGGAATGGTAGGCCATGGATTGCCTCTCTAATTATTTATCATGTACATAGCTTCGAATGACCCTTTGCTACAGTCCATTGCATCCTCCTCCTCATGTTTTCTTTTTTTTTGGGATTGTGAAAGCCTTGATTTTAAAGTTAAGGTCAGAGTTGGGGTTTCTTTGTCGCAGTTCTAGCTGTTCATAACTTTTTATTAATCTGATTGGAAACATGGCTGTGGAAATTGTCTCATTTGACGGTCACAAGTTCTCAATTTTTTTTTCTCATTTTGTACGATAGAGTGCCAATAATGTGTGTGTTAGAAAATATTATTTCTTATTCTGGGATTTGTTTCATCACACTCCACACTCTGATAAAAAAAATGTATTTAACAGGTTTTGTAAAACTTTCTTACACACCTTTATCAAGAGTGGCAGTAATTTAAAAAGTTTTAAGAAAAATATTTTAAAAAACAATTGAGCCACTATGTGATTTTCTGTTTTCCATAAGAGTGTTTCTTGTGAAGGTGAGCTACCATGAAGGTCCCCCCTTTTATACACAATCAGTACTAAATATATTTCTCTGTGTCTCTGCAGCCAGATCTGGATGAGAGAAAGTCGACTCGTCCTCGCTCAATGCTGCGCTCCTTTCGACAGTCCATCATCTCCATCTCTTCACTGCAGGGATCTGAATGTGGAACCCCAACCAAGGCTCATGCGGACAGGTAGAATAAAAGTGCACAGCTTTTTGACATTTAACCTGTCATCTCAAGCTGCAAAGATGCAATATTTACCAACAAAACAATATTGACATCAACACAGATAAATACGCTGCTAAAAAATATAAAATGAATACTTTTAGGAAGGAAACAAATCAGCTTGCAATGGAAAAATGAATCCATATATTTTTACTGATACAGAGTGGGTAATGTCTAATCAATCCTTAAAGAACTAAATTCAAAGGCAACCCAAAAATCTATTTATTGTACAAACTGATAAAATGATACTCAGTACTTTTTATAACCTCCATATCTCTGACTACATGCTTGCCAAGCACAATTGTATTGCAACAAGGCCTTGTTTCCAGAGCACCGTCCTCCCAATTCTGGACCAGGATGGAACCAGTTTCTGTGTAATCTGCAGAACAACCGGACCTGAACTGAACATGTTATGCCCCAGAGGTTTTCTACTAGATAAAACACAAGCTCTTTTGAAATGCTGCTTATCTACTTAAACACAAGAAATGTACAGTTTGGACAATTTTGCAAAAGTAAAAATCAGATGTTTACTTTGTGGCTCTTGGTTACCAGAAAACGTGCTCATCTCTTAGCAACAGATTATCAACAAATATTATTTTTAAAAAAACTAAGATTTCTTCTGCTTTTTTGAAATACTACTTATCTTATGCAATTGTGAAGTTGGTGAATTTTCCAGAACAGTGAAAATGTTTTTGTTTTGTCATTGAATATGTTATAAAACAAACATTAAACACAAAGGTAAAAATCTGATTTATACTTCATGACAGTTCGTTCCCAGAAAATGCACTTCTCTCTTAGCAACAGATTAACAACAGATATTGTTATTGTTCAAAAAACATAAGATTTCTTCTGCTCTTTTGAAATACTCTTTGTCTTATGCTGTTTCACAAGAATTGTGCAATTGATAAATTTCTCAGAAAAGGGATTTTTTTTTTTTTGTCATTAATGGTGACTATATTATAAAACAGACATTCCTCACTAAAGTAAAAATCTGATTCATACTTCATGGCAGTTCGTTACTAGAAAAAAACACTCATCTCTTAACACCAAATGAATAATAAATAATATTATTGTTTATAAAACATCAGCTCTTTTGAAGTACTGCTTACCTGCTTAGACACTAGAAATTTACAGCTGGGTACATTTTGCAAAATTAAAAATCTAATGTTTACTTTGTGGCACTTGGTTGCCAGGAAACACACTCATCTCTTAGCAACAGTTTAACAACAAATATTATTGTTATTGTTTAAAAAAAACACAAGGTTTTTCCTACTTTCTTGAATTACTGTTTATCTTATGCTACTTACGATTTGTGCAGTTGAATTTTTCAGAAAAGGGACATTTTTTTAATTATTTTAATTTTTATTTTATATATTATGAACATCTATATTCTATATTTTGACCAACAATTAAGTGAATAATTCAAGCGATCTCCTTCCATTAAGGCTGGAGAACTTGACAATCCCAAAAGACATGAAAATGATCTGCCATGTGGTTTCCACACAACCTCCAACATTGTCTTGTGTGTAATTGGCCATTTTTAGTTTTGCTTCAATTTAGGGGTAATGAAGAAACGGATAATGATATTTCAATGTAAATACACTCCATCTGCACGAGCAATCCTGTTACTTACTGGAAGTCTCCATGTGTTTTACCTCCTCAAATCATCACTTATCCCCACTAAACCAGCCATGCTGAATGATAAAACAAGCCTCATAGCCTCCTTCACAGCTCCTGACATCATTTCACATATGTAATTCATGCAAAAGGTGAATCTTCTCTCCTGTGTGAAAACAGAGAGCAGAGGGCTCCCTGGAGGAGTCACCTTCATAAAATCCCAGCAAAGTCCTGCTGGAAGTCATTCTGCAGGGTCTGTTAGAGATCATCCTGGTCCTAATGACAGGTGTGCTCTCCACCTTCCCTAGAGAAACTGCCTGCCTCACAGGCTGTCCTTCATAATTTGTGGGAAACACAGCAAATGTTGTGTAGTTTGACTATCATTGTAACCTCTGTAGAGTCGAGGTTTTGCCTCATGCTGGCAGTAGTATCGAAAACTTCCAACTTGTAAAATCATTCCTGTTGCCAGTTTTAATAACACTAAAGTTACTTATACTGAATAACAATCACCTCTGCTGCTGAGCGGACAAGATCAATATATTCTGAGTGTTGAATGGACTTGAGGCTACAGTCTGAATAAAGCGATCATTTAATTTGTCTTTTGAGCAGTCTGTATTCTAAGATGGTGTTTAATAACTTGCGCCTTCTTTGTGTGCCTTTATTAAGGGACATCCCTGAGTCACCAAATTCCTGGTCCTCCACTCTGCCCCGCTCCAGCGGTAGTGTTAGTGTGATCATAGGCGAGGAGGGCGTGGTGACGGTGGGGGATGCAGAGGTCAGACTGAGGAAGAGCAAGAAGAAGAAGAAAAGAAGCAGCATGATTCTCATCTCAGAGGAGAGAAGTAGGACGAGCACGCTGGACTCCAAACGGGTGAGTGTCATTGGCTGTAGAACAAGAGGACATGCATGTCAGGAGGAGGCGGTGAAAGGAAGAGGGGGAGGCTGAGTGTAAATACTCAAGCCAGAAAATTCAGAGCCTTTGCCGAGCTGCTGTTTGGTTTTCTGATCTCTGTCTCCCTCTAGCTGTCCAAGAAGCAGGAGTTCCGCAGCGACACCAACCTGTGTGAGCCAAACGACGAAAACGTGCCGCTGACCAACGCCAACTCTCGATCCTTGCCAGCCATCACAGGTAACAGAAGCACTGAATCATCGGAGCCTGGGCAGTGATGTCAAAACAGAATGTCATGGCCTGAGAGAAATGTCAGGCTGAAAAAAAAACAAAAGGACATGTCCACTGCTGGCAAGCATGGAAACGTGGCTCTGAAAAACAACACACAGCCAAATGTGAATCAGAAAAAAAAACATAGATGTAATGTTTTAGAGAAATGCACCAATACTGTCCAGTTTCTGTCATTTTATCACTTACATGACCTTGCACTTGTAGTGGTGCATCACAGCACTGTTCACTGATGCTCTGCTGGCTTTTTGCCATGTAGACAAGCTGAGCCAGCACAGGTGGCCATGTTAATACACTAACTGTGATTAGTACTGCTGGCCACAACTGAGCAAACACACTTCTCTAGCAGAAGCAGAGAATCATCAGCAGAACAGCCTCAAGAGCAAAAATGTTTTCCCAAAAGAATTTTACTGAAAAAGAAAAAAAAAACAAAGTAAATGCAGAGGAGTTGTTTTCAAAATAATAAAGCACCGAGTCGTGCTTCTTGTTTTCTGTAGGTCTGTCTTTATCTGTGGCTGGTGGGGGAGAAGAGGTGGATGCAGCCAAAACCAAGAGGGACAGCAAGAACATGTCTGCCTCCGGGACATCTGACCGAACAGCAGACAGACGCTCCAAGGGAGTCATTAACCTGCTCTTCAAGTCCAAGGTAGACAAACATGACAACACGTTGAATCATTCACAGTGACATATTAATTAGACATTTGCAACCCGTAAAAAGCATTTAAGAGTTAAAGAGAAGCTAAATTATTCATTAGCTAAATCAATTGGACAGTGCCTTGCAGTGCAGGACATTATTACTGTCTTCACCCATTTCTTTGAACGCATCATTTGTACTGAGATCCAAACGTACTTTGTATGCATTTACATTTTCAGCTCTCTTAAATCAAAATTATTAAGTAAAAACAAAAAGGTGAAAGATGACCTTCTGTTCATAAGCATTTAATTTGATTGCATTTCACCTCCATTAATGAAAGTTCTATTTACATTAAATTGTCATGCTTGTTTTAACAGAGCTCCAGATCTGAAGATCCAAAGCCCAGTGATCCAACCAAGGACGCTGACAATCATTTCTGAAATGTCCTTCGATAATCTTCTGTTTGCCTTATTCATTTATCTGCACATATTTTGCGACAAGGTTTAAAACCTCCTTCTATATCCAAATTTCCACATCACTCTCAGTCTGCCTATCATTCCCAGCATCTTTGTCACTTAAACGAATTGATTCGAACTGTCTATAAAGGTTTTTTTTATTGGGAGAATTTTTATTCCAGGTAGTTTGAATGACACTTCACAGAAGCTAAATGCCACCTTGCAGCTTTTGAATCAATTAATCTTCTACAAGAACAAGCAAACACAAACCAGCCACCGGATGCTGCTGATTAAATATCTTATACAGGTTTCAGCCCAGTGATGACGGACAGTAATGAGAAAGTGATAATTCAGTAAAGCATAAAGGGTACCATGTCCTCACGTAGGACTCTGAGCTGGAATAATATGGCAAACAGCTTTGATGCACTGATTCAACAAATAAGGAGAGAAAAAAAAGTCAACAGTGAGATTGATCTGCTGTGTTGTTTCTTTCATTCTTTTAAATCCATTTTACTTTTTTTTTATATGTTTGAGGTACTATTTGTGAAACATTTCTTTAAAATAAAGTCAGACTGTTGTACGTTTTGTGTAAACCAATTCAATATGCCGTGACGTTGCGTTCACTTGCAAAAAGTCTTCATACCCCTTGCACTGTTTCCTATTGTCTCATATTACAACCACAAAGTTTAACATAAAGTTTTTTTTCTTTTGCGTTAATTTGGGATTTAATCTGAAAGACCATCCGGGAAGAGCACATGTCTGCAAGGTGGAACGGAAAGGATGGGGAAATCTAAAAACTAAGGCATGCTTTTGCATTCAGCACTGCTGACATAATATTTTGTAGGAATACATCTTTACATGTGTTCCTCCAACAGCATTGTGCATCGACAAATTTTACTATATATTTTTATTTGCCCTAAAGCTCAAGCACAGTGAGATTAGATGAAAAGTAGTTGTGAACATGCATTTTTAAGTCTTTCACGTGTCACTGACATGTTCTCCTTGCCTGACCTTTCGGTTTGGTAATTAGATGATTTGGTATGTCTGTCCTATACTTTTTCCATTTTCCATTGATGGATTAAATAGTGCTCCACCAGTTGTTCAAGGATCCAGATATTGTTTTATAACTCAATCCTCCTTTATATTTCTCCATAACTTTATCCCTGACCTGTCAAACGTTTTAATATTTTTTACTGTTTGCATTTTATTTAGCAGTGTCAAGAGCAGAGTGGTGTGTAAAGAAATGTCAACTACAACATTTTTATAATTAAAATCTCAATAAATTCACCAACATTAGTGGCTATAACATTATGCTTTTACAAAGCATATTTCAAAGAAGTTGAAACCCAAAATTTTTATAATCAAGCACTAACCTCATTATCTACGGGCCTTTTATAGGACTTGTGACCTTAACAATACAGTGAGGGACTTTGTTTTCATTTACTTAAGCTTTCTACCCAGAGGTGAGTATGGTGTCCCTATTTTTTGTGCTAAAACTGTAGCTTGAAACCTTTGCTGTGTAAGGTTGTTTTTAGATTTGTAATTTGTTTCTGTGCTTGTAGATACCACTCCAGGGTTACAGTGAATAATTTACTCTGTGAACAGGACCATTAAAAATGAAACGGCAGCCCAAGATAAGGCCAGTCGGCAAGGACGATGTTGGTGAACCGCACCGCGTCTGAAGAGCTATTTTGGGCCAAAAGAAAAAAAAAACAAAAAACAAGCAACTCACTGGGTGGGGAGCAGATTTATTCCTTTATCCTTTCAAAGAAAAAAAACAATCTGGGAGACACCTGATGGCCCATAGGTTGGTTGTGCAGCTTAAAGTTTGGTACCTGTGGGTCGGTCCTGGCTTATTTTAAATCCGCACAGCTAAACCACTCAAAGCCCTGACAGATAGCGAGCAAATGGAGTGGGAAGGTTATTGGCTCTCATTCTGCCTTCTTAATTGAATTTAGTGACACTTTAGTAAAGACATTTTGCTCATTTGTTGAAAGGAGCGGACAGACAGCTGCGTTAGATGAATATAAATTAGTAGTCTGCATATTCAGACAGGAAGCTAATACCGCCCCTGCTCTGGTAAAGTGACATTAAGTGAGAAAATATAATTTCAGATTAGGATGTTTTAATGACGCATGGATTGGACGGGTATCTCACATTTGCCCTCTGGAGGTTTTATTTCCTCACGGCTCTCTCTTGGCTCTGTACTTCGGAAGTACATGTAGTCAGGAGGTGATTAAGAGCAGTCGAAGCATGGCTTCCCTACCTTATTAATGCTACCATTAGCTGCTTTCACACTGACCACAAGGCTTCGC